TCCCTTGGAACAGCTGGTGGGTTTGAACTTCCTGCTTTTAGGTTGGCAATGTGACCCCTTACCAGTAGGCCACCAGAGCTGCCTTGAAGAGAATGTGCTAGTGAACCCAAATTGGGCTTTTCCACAAGAGAAGAATATCCATAGATGAACAATCAAGTGCTGCTCACTAGCTACATGATCTTGTTGTGTTGCTATCTGTGATTTGACTGTGAGTCATAGAGAGCCTATAATAGTGAAACTAAACTTTGCCCTATCTTGCACCATCCTCAACATCTCAGATATACTTGAGCCCATTGTTACAGTCACCATGTCAATGCATCTTATTGTGATTCTTCCTGTCGTGTATTAACCCTCCACCTTGCCAAGCATGATGTCCTTGCCCAACGACTGGCCCCTCCTAATAACAGAGTATGTGAGACAAAACGTCACCATCCCTGCTTCCTAGGAGTGCCCTGTGTGTTCTTTTTGTTGTGTGCTGTTGAGTTGGAACTGACCCATAGGTGACCCTCCTGTGGGTTTTCAGAGGCAGTTAATCACATGGAAGGTAATTGCCCATCCTTCTTCCATGGAGCAGATGATGGATTTGAATTGCGTGCCTTTTAGCAAATAGGATTGCTTAAACAATTGATGAGCTAATCTGTTAAGTTAGTAGCAAAATGCCTAATAACTCTCTAGCTTATTGCTCTCCAGTCAGGACCAAATCACACCTAACTCTCCATTGGGTTTCTTAGATGGAAAGATTGCCCGTGGAGCCCAGGGATTTGAATGACCAGAGAGGTTGGCCTTTGGGTTGTCACCACAACTTCCTATGGCCTAAGCCACCAGCACACCTTACTTCTTATTATTTGTCATTGAGTCACCTGAGACTCATAGCAACCTTAGGTACATTAGCTCTGAAACCAGCCCTATCCTGAACCAATCTTATCATCTCCAACAGACCTAATCCCATTTCTCCAGTCACAGAGTCAGTCCATCTCATCTAGGGTCTTCCTCTTCTGCACTGTCCCTCCACTCTTCCAATCATGATGTCCCTCTTGGAGGACTAGTCCCTTCTAGACCCATGCCCAAAATATTTGAGATGGAGCTTCAAAATCCTTGCCTCCAGGAAGCAAACTAGTTTCACCCTCTTCAAGATAGACCAATTTGTTCTCCTGGAAGTCCACTATTCAAGACTCCTCTCCAGCTCCACAACTCAAAGGCATTGATCCTTCCTCTATCATTCTTAGTTATTGTCCAGGTCTCTGATATATAGCAAGTAATTGCAAAGACCATGGGCTGAATCCAACATA